TTATGTCCCGCACCTGGGTCATAGTTAGCACATTCACACCATCGGCGAAAATCTCTAATAAAATCTTCTGGATCTGTCAATCCGCGAAACTTTGGTAATTCATATCCTGCCATATTTTGATTGTTATTATGATTCTGCGGTATATTATTCTGTAAATCTAAAATTCTCTGATTTAAAAAATTAATTCGCTCTTCAAGTTCTAAATTAGCATCGCGGGCTAGCCTCGTTCTAAGCTTCCACTTGCTATATTTAGCGTGCTTAGCTCTCGTCCTATTTTTAGCCCATAAAGATGCAGAATATAGTCTGAATGGCAAGATCCTTTCCATTTATTATACTTCTCATATAGAACAGCGCTTTATTTTTATATCTATTGCATAAAAGCTTGAGAGCAAAAATTTCTGATAATAACCGGGGGCTGTATTTTTTTCATAATAGACTCGCCAAAATGTGTGCATTAATTTTTCGTCTTTATGGTCTTTCTCTACATCGTCCAATATATATGCGGTGGCATTTTGCAGCTCATAGCATTATCGATAGCGATTCGAGTACTTTCTCTTTCTATCGCTAAATCAGATTATAAAATCGGGGTTAATTCATCTAACGCATGTTCAAGCGCATGATTTCTGCCTATTTTATTTCTAATTGATTGGCTGACGGAACTAAACGTCCTGGTGGTATCACTCATCCTCGGTGAAATAGGATTGGCCATTTCTATTTGATTAGACGATATTTTTTTTGTGGGATATTAATTCTTTGATTCTTGCCTTAAGCCTTAAAATATCCGGCTATCTGGTTATTTTTGGAATCAATAACGGTCTCGTTTGACTTGATTTCCTTGAGAGCTATTTGGATTTTTAAATCACGCGATTTCATTCTCTTGATCGGTGATTGTAATACCCGGCGAATTAATTCTCCTCACATTTTTCTAAATCCCGTATAAGCTGACGGACCTTTTCTCATTGACACGATTGATTTCTACCTCGCGATTTAACTCCTCCCGTAATTCGATATTCGATTGTGCAAGTTGCACGGATGCCGGATCTATTGCAAAGCAAGGGACTTTGTCCCTAGCGAATTTATTCTTTTCATTTTATATTTCGAAAGAAAACAATGACGCAACCTTTGATCTATATCGACTTTTCTCGTATATTCGAAAAAAAATCATATAGTTATCTCTTATATAGTCTGCGAAGCAGGACATTTCATGTCTATCTCATATATACAGTAATTGGTAAAAAGTGTGGTCGACGAAATGTCATAGCTATTTTTACAACATAATATATCTTCATAGAAAGGAAACTTTGTCTCTTAACTTATCTTCTGACTTTGCTAACATAATTTTTACTATGAGTAATACCGAAAATGAGTAAATTGAGCAAGCCTATTATTAGAATCGATTTAGATGAGGAGTTAAACTTAATATGTAAATTGCTTTTTTATCGACCTACTGGCTATCATTCCAATGCAAAAGCTTTAAGAGACGCATGCAAAAAGGATATAATTTCCCCGTATAAAAAAGTTCGTGAATGGTTGCATAACCAGAATGAATGGCAAAAGTATGTTCCGTCACCGAAAAATACTCTACGGGTGAGTTATGGAAAAATTTCACGTCCAAACCGCGTACATACAGTATGTGTGATTTGTTGTGCCTTACAAATGATACCATTAATAAAAAGACATATAAATGGGCACTTAGTTGCATCTCGTTTTAAATATGCTGTTCCTCTAACTTCAAAAACAGTTCAGAGGTAGCCAAGGCGTTTAAGAAAATTTATGACAACCCGAATATCCCTCTTACTTGGCCTGATTTATTACAATCTGACTGCGGTAGGAAATTTATGGGTGAAACCTCAAAAACAATGGAAGCACATAATGTTACAATCCGAGTTATAGGCCCGTATTCTCATCGAGGGCTTGCAATCGTAGACAGGTTTTGTAAGACATTAGCAGAAATACTGTACAAAGTTCAATCCGTCGCTGAAACTATATCCAGAAATCCTAAATTAATCAGGGCATGGGTTAAGCATTTACTATAAGTTCTTGAATATCTGAATAATTATCCAACACGACTTATACGAGCGCCAGGATCAAAGAAATGGGGATTAGCGCCTGTGAAGGCAATTAGATTGGATAGGGTGGAGTCTAGACCATCTACAAAATACAAACGTTCAGTTGGTAAAGACGAAGAAAAATTAAAAAAGGGGGATACCGTTCGTTACTTACTCGCTAATGCGGAATGGGAAGGGGGTATGGAAAATCAAAGGCGGGCAACGGATGAAATTTGGAGCCCTTCTTTACATAAAATCCGCAAAATCGTGGTAACGAAAAACGAACCAGTTTTATATTATCTCGGAAGCGATGACGATGAATATCCTCCAAAGCGTGGATTTGTGAACGAAGAGCTTATGCACGTAAATATAGATACCAGTATCCGCCCCAGAGTATATTGGAGGAAAACACTCGTTCCAGGTCTGTTAATTTCATCCGTGTTATTAATAAAATAGCTAAGGCGCAAGCTTATGCTGAGAAGCGCGGTGGGAGTGTCTTGGTAAAACTAATCAAATAAATGGTTACGATGTATATCTCTAGACATGCAATGGTATGCACCTTATAAAATCCAGAAGCGGAAATTCGAATGGTGCCCAATTTGCCCTAGTACCCATGAAAGAAGTTGTCGATACATTTTTGAGGGATCTGCCAGTACTAGGTAAGAAATTCTCAGGAAGGTTTACGTTTGGATGGTTATAATGAGGAATTAAAATCAGCTTTTGAATACCAAAAATCCCAACACTATAGTCTTAATTCAATGTTCCATAAGCGAGGCCAGATAGACTTGGAACAACAATCAAAAAAAGCGAAATATATGCAAGGAACAAGGTATATGTCTTATTGAAGTCCCATGATTTGTATCCTTACATTCGCATCATATTGATCGAAAAAGGTTATCTACCAAATACAAATATTGAATAATTACAGTTAAGGAATAAGACCCAGACCTTGAAGGATATCTGGAATTTTCTCAAATGGGTTTTCATAATACCAAACATATCTTAGTGCTATTACTATCCAATTTTCTTCACAGAGTTTTTCCTTAAGTTGATCCCGTTCCTGCTGTTTAATGAAATTATTAGGATCGCCTCTATGAAAGAACTCGTGATATTTTTCATGCTATTCAGAACCTCCTGAAGTGCGTGGCTTAAAATGGGAATCTCTTCGCCATACCTGGCTGTTGTCCTTCAATAGCAAAACCATAATGGTAGTAAGGAATATCAAGTTCTAAACCTGTTGTACCTTTAGAAGTTTTTAAAAAGTCAGGTCTGCGATTTTCCGACGGGGACCAAGATATTTTGTTACAATTTCTCGGCATAAATTTTCACGTTTATATTTGCTACAATATGGGCGATGACTTCTTATTTGCAATACAAGCGGACGTCACATTTGAATAGAAGAGAAGAGACAAATTGGACAAATTGAGCAAAAAAGCATTCAAACTTGAATACCATTCATACATTTTTTCACACCGCCGTAATAAGGGTAAAGAATTATTATTATTGATATATTTCACAGAGAGACATTCTCCATTTCTGTTATACGCAATTTGTTTAGCATTTTCAAGGGTAAGGTTGCTCGTTCTACCGTAGTTTGCACAACATGGGCACCAAGTGTCATTATCTTTTATATTTCTGAGACATGCTTGCCATTGATGAGATTTCTGAAATACATTTTCTTTCGCTATAAAAATACCCAATCTCTTTTTATCATCTCCGCAGGTGGGACACCATTTTGTTTTTGTAATGACTTCTGAATCTGAATCACATATGGGCAGTTCCTCTACTGCATCATTCCAACCTTGTGGGCCATAATCTGCATTGAAAAACGTTACCAGGAATTCATGCAGCTCGTCCGAGACAAGTTTGTCAATGGGATCAAAAACGCTGTGAAGGATTTCTTCTTGAATATTTGAATCGAGCAGTAATGAGAATTGTGATTGTGGTCGTAGATCTATAATGTGCCCCTTGTTGTGAATCCAGA